CCTCTGGCTGCTTGTTTTTTCCTGCGCCCCAGCCTTGTCAGTGCGGCGCTGCTTCTGCGCTGTTTGTTTTTGTGTTCGCATTGTTTCTCTTTCTTCCTTGTTTGGCCGTGGGTGTCGCGGGGGCTGAGGGCGGTGCTTTGGGAAATAATGGGGAGCGCGTGCCTCCCAGTGTCGGGGCGCAAGGGCAGACATGCAAGGGTACTCCCTGCGGAGCTGCTGCGCTGGAACGAGGCGGCGGACACCCAGCTGCCACACAAGGCGGCGTTGTTGATCAGGGCGGATGCCAGCTCGTTGCAGCGGGCGCGGGTGGGGTGCGTGACGGTGGTGGCACAGCTGCTGCCGTGTGGGGCGGGCTTTCCTGACTCCCGTAACGCATTCGACACTTATTTTGCGGCGGCCGCCGCGCAACGCGAAAAGCGGGTGGCGGAGAACGCTATGGGAAGGCGCCGGGGAGCCCGCGACTGAGCGTTCCCCACGCATGTAGGACTCTGCGTGCTGGTGTGCTTTACGTGCGAGACGTACCTCCCCAACCCCACTGGGCTAATCAGTGAGGTGGACTGCATTGACGAGATGGTGATGCTTGTTGCGCCCGGCAGGAGTGACCAGCCGGATCTCCTGCGCCGCATTTCGATGCTGCGCCGCCGCATGTCGGCGGAGAATGCGCGGCTGTACCTGAAGGAGAAGCTGCTGCAGGAGTTGATGGGCCCCACCATGCGCACGACGTTTGTCTCACATGACCCCTGTGTGATGCAGGCGTACCGAGAGGTGTTTGCGGAGCTCTCGCAGGTGCTGGAGCGCATGGAGGTGGCGCGTGACTCGTTGAACCATGTGAATCTTAACTTTGTGAATGCTGTGTCCATGCGCATGTCCCAGGCCTCCGCCGGCTTTGACCTCCGGATGATGTTTATCAGCCAGATCACAACCATCTGTCTTCCCATGAACCTGATTGCCTCATTTTTTGGCATGAACTGCAAGGTGCCGTGGTCGGCGGACGACGTCCCCAACCTGAATTGCTTTTGGTCCGTCGTGGGCATCATGTGTGCGTGGGCATTGATTTGCATGTTCCAACCGGTCCAGCAACTTATCTTCCAAAAAAAATGGATGTGTAGTGGTGTGCGAGGAGTAGAGGGGGGAGGGGGAGGTCTCGTTGCGCCCTGCAGCCGTAGTTCAATGAACGTTTCATTGGTGCCGTGCGAGCGTCTCTTTCTTTCGGGGTTACTGGAGAAGAACTAAGCAACAAAAAAAACACTGCCTGAGCGTGTTGGTGCCGCCCCCTGCGGAGCAGTTTTGCCTGCTTACATGCAGGCCGCCTAACGGCAACAAAAAAAAAAAAGGAAAATGCAGGTAAGTGAAATGGCAGCGCTCTCAGTGAATAAGCATTCGTTTTTGGAAGGGTAAAAAGAGCTGTGGTGTTTTATTTATTTATTTGGTTGTTCCTCCTCTGCAGAGGGAATGCTCGTGACCGGGTGGGGGGGGGTGGAGGTGGCGCTGAGGGAACGTTTTGAAGGTGCGCCCCCTCCCCTCCCAACCCTTTTCAGGCCACCGTATTGGGAGGGGGGTCGAACGGCCGCCTTCGGGATTTTTTTTTTTTTGTGATTAGTAGTTTGACGGCTGTTATTACAACTGTGGAAAGCCACTATTGGGCTCTGCGAAGGGTGGTGCGGAGGGCGCGCTGCATTTGTGGATCACAGCGGAAAGTTGCCTTTCCGTTTCGCGCTACGTATTGCAGCCTTTTTTTTTGTAGGGAGAAAAGTGGGCCGTGGACGGTTTTAGCTTTAGGTACTGCGCTGTTTTCTTGTCTCTCCGTGCCGTCTGTCAGATGTTCCTTTTTCCTTTTTAGCCCTTCCTCTCATTGGGCGTCAATGCGCTGCTGCGACGGAGAGCTGCGGTGTCGATGTGGGGGCATGGTGTGCGCCAAATGCTTCCGATTTTGTATTGGGTGCAACCAGCCTGTTTATGTCAGGTGCATGCCGCCTGGTTTGACGCAATGCAAGGGCTGCTGTTCAGCGCTTCTTAGCAACACTTGTCGCCGTTTATGGCGTCGCTGCAGACCCGCCTTGATCTATTGTTTTCTGGAGTGGTCCAACACGGTTTTCCTCTCTGTACGTGCGCTTGGTATTTTTTTTTTCCTCTTCGTCTTTTGCTGGTAGAAAATACGATAAAAGGAGGGACACTTGCGACGTTGTGAGACGTAGATTGCCTTCATCATTTGCAGAAAGGAGAATAATCCGTATCCTGCAAAAGGCGGAATAAACCTTCTACCGATGCACACCACATCGCTCGCGGTTAACAGGCAAGAAACGTCAAGCAAAGAGAAGTCCCCTCTGTGTCTGCCCCGCTCCGCTGCTCCACTGTTAGATAGAACATGTTGTCTAGGCACGTTGCGCGGTGTTTACTCCCACGGGTAAAGTGTACTTTGTATTGCTCTGCGCCAGCGAGAACCTCCCCGGCCGGAGTCGTCCCATCCGTCTGACGCATTAAGAGGGGAATGCTCACCTCACTGATCAATATGCTGAAGGTGGAAAAACTAACATGCGGACCCGGTCAGCCTTCTCAGCGTGGTCGTAGGAAACCATTCATATGGAAGCGAAGGCATCCGTGGTTTGATAGGCAATGATATCGTGATATTAAGGGTGTAGAGAAGGGCCGTGCACGCCTTGAATGGGCAGACGCTCCGCGTGCCGTTCTCTCAGCTTCGGCCCCTTTTTTTTTCTTACTGCAAGGTCATGGAAGATCAATGCAGGGCGTCACCGGAGGGTTCGTCTTTTTCTCCAAAACGAGGCCGTCGGAAGCCTTCGTAAGCCCGCTTTTTTTCGTTTGTGGAATGGTGCATACAGGCGATACGTTGTTTGGTGAAGTCGTCTTTTTTTTTTGCTTTAAATTTGTGCCTTCGCGTTTTTCCGGTGGAACGCGGGAGGACGCTGGCCTCTGCTTTTTCATTTCTAATTACTGTCGCATGAAGCTAAACATTATCTGTTATTGTTTCCTTCTTTCTTTTACTTTTTGGTACATAATTTCCGCTGGGCGTTCTCCGTCTATCTTTTTCTTTTTTGGTTGGCTATTGTTGCTCCGTGTTCATGGGCTTCAGTCCGCAGATGCGGGGGATGATGAAGCTTCTGTGTGTTTTTATGCTTGCCCTTTGGGCGGCGAGTGGTGCTTTGTGTGAGGAGTGTTCCCGTGTGAACCAACGTTTGCAGTGCGGAGCATTCGCATGTGATACTAACCGCGGCGTCTGCGTCCCTTGTAACACCTCGGACGAATGCTACCCTAGGGCCATGGAATGTAGGGCAGGGAAGTGCGTTGCTAAGGACCTTGCCAGAGGTTTTTCTGCTCTTTCGGGTGTGGCGCTACTATGTGCATTTGCCGTTTGTTCCATTGCTGTCTTGGCCGGTGTTGGGGGTGGCGGCATTCTTGTGCCCATGTTTTGTTTGCTGATGGAGGTGCCGATGGACATTGCGGTGGGACTGTCTCAAGCCACAATATGCGGACAGAGCATTCTGAATGTGTTTTTTGCCGTTCAGAAGCGTTTTCCTTCTTCTGAATGCTCGCGTCCTTTGATCAACTATCAGTATCTGACCCTCCTTATCCCACTTGGAGTCATTGGTACTCTCATTGGGGGGGTGCTGAACAAGCTGTGCCCGGACCTGCTTCGGTTGATCCTGTTGTTTATCCTCCTTATAACAGTTTTGTATCGCACTGTGCGGAAATTGATAGCACAATACCGGAAAGATCAGGTTGTGAGAAGGGAACCGATTCCAGTTCCATCTTCAGAGGAGGAAGTGGCAGGCACATTGCATACGCCCGAAGGAACACCCAGTCTTAACCAACCTCAGTATCCATGGCTGGAAATTCTATGCGTGGTCTCTTCTTTTATTGTGAATTTGGCCTTTGCTGCATGGAGGTCTCGTACGAAATGTGGCGGTGGAGTGTATATTGTCACTTATTGCATACCGATTATTGCAAATACGGTTCTGTTTCTTTGGTACCGGTATCGATTGGCGAAGATGGAAAGATGCAGATTAACTTTTTACTGGAATGTCAGAACCACAATTCTGTATCCGCTGGTATCGGTAGTGGCCGGAATTGCGGCAGCCATGCTCGGTATCGGAGGCGGTTTGGTGCTGGGCTTTGTTCTGTACGAAGTTGGTCTCATTCCCGAGGAAGCATCTGTCACAGGGGGTGCCGCGACCTTGTTTTTGGCCTTTTCTTCCGCGCTGAGTTTGTTGATTGAGGGTCGTCTTCTTATTGACTACGCAGGAGTTCTTTTTGCATGCGGGCTTCTTAGTGCGGCTCTAGGAAACTTCGTGTTTATGAGACTCATCAAAAAGTACAAGTTGAGGTTTTTGATTGTCGCGGCGTTGGCGATGATCATTGCCGGCTCGCTTGCGTTTCTGTCAGGGTTCGGCATCTACAACTCACTCAACCTCGTCAATCATGGCGGCTCAATCCTGGCATTTGGCCGTGTGTGCCGCTCTTCTCACCACCGTGGCGAGTAGCAGGCTATTGGTTTGCGGGGCAAGCCTGAGGTTGCGGGGGTGCAGCCGTGTTGTGCCAGGTTCCCTGGCAATATGAACTCGGTGCCAACGCCAACCGGTTTCGCTGCTTACCGTCTCGGTGGCTGATTTTCTTACTTCTGTGAACTCTCTTATTGTTTGCTTGCCCTCATTTCCAACCGTTATTCTTCACTGGCCCGTAACTATACGCGTGTGTGGGGAGGAGAGGAGGTTGGGATGGGTTGGGATGGGTTGGGTTGGGGAGGGGGGTGGGGGGTGGGTGGGCGGTGCGAGAGTCATTAAACCAATTTGGGAAGACACGGGGGGCAAATACACACAAAACAACAGAACACAAGGCGAAGCAGGAACAAACGACGAAAGGAACGGAGACCGAGAAGTTTAAGCAAAGCGGGCACTCAGTCTGCCGCAGCGAACACATAATTTGACAACGAGACAATATTGTGGACGGCATTTGCTTGTTTGTTGTCTCATCCGTGCGCGTGGCTGCTGAAGGCCTCGGGGTGGCAGTCGGCAGAGGCGCGAGCCGTTGAGCTGCCAGCGCGAGCGTTCGAAAAGAGTTCGACTGATCATATTGCCGCCTTTTGCGTCGGCAGCGCGGCACTCATGCACTCACGCACGCGCTGTAGAAGCGCAGTGCACATGCGGGGGCCTCAGTGGGGGAGGGGGGCTGCCGACTGCAAGATTTGGCGGCAGCTGCGGGGAAATGCTGCGTGGGGCAGTGTGGTGCCAGACGAGAATCCGGCAGAGAGGCCATCGCAGGGTCAGGGAGCAAACAACTTTGAGCGCTACGCAGGGTGGCGCGGGGGGCAGGTCAACAGCCTCCTTCAGCATCCCCTCTTCGGCCGCAGTTTTGATAATTATAACCTTTGACTTTTGAGGCCCCAGTGCTGGGGGTTGAATTGGTACGCTGATACGCATGTGCGATCGTAATGCCAAACAATCTGTTTGTTTCACGTTCTCCTCCTTTTTTTTTTACGAAGAAGAAAGTCGCAGACTGTTGCATGAGCAATGCGTGAGGGTGAAAAGACAGCTGAGGTCCGCGGGCTTGCGATGGATGCGCAGCCGGCGGAGCCCGCCGCCGTGGGCGTTGTGCAAGCGATGCAGCGCTGCCTTATATTCCACAAGTCCGCGGAGGCGCCGTTCTCCACCACCGTCTTTTGCAACCCGGACGGGGCGGTGAAGAATGTGAGGGAGCAGTTGCAGGACGGAGGGTCTACCCCCGACGGCCTTTGCGTTTGGGTGGACATGCAGGGGTGCACCGGGGAGCAGCGCCGGAGTATGCTCCAGCTGCTCTTCCCGCACATGGGACCAAGTCAGATTGAAGGGGCGCTCAGCCCTGACACGTATGACGCAGTGGAACTGCAGTCGGTGAAAGGGGAGTACCTCATTGGCGGCATCGCGTGTTCGCCCAGCCGCGTTCCTTCCTCCCCTGGCCTCGCCGCGTCGGAGTTCGAAGGGGAGAACACAGTTCTTTGCTCCTTTGCGTGCAGCGACCGTTTTTTGCTGACGATGCATGCAGTCCCGTTTGTCGGTTTTGCGGAGCTGCTGCGGCACGTCGAGGTGGGGGGTGGTCTCGGGCAGCGCAGGGGCGAGGCTGCGCTCACCAGCGCCCCGGCCTCACTGCAGACGAGCACCACAAGTGCCGGCATTCTCTTTGTGCTGGTTTGCTTTGCTTGCGAGGCATTCCTCCCTGATCCCACCTCGCTGCTTGCCGAGGTGGGCAACATTGACGAGATGGTGCTCCTCATCGCCCCCGGCGAACGGGACCAGGTGGATCTGCTTCGCCGCGTGGCGGTTTTGCGCCGCCGCATCGCCAACTTCCGCATGGGGTTGTACCTGAAGGAAAAGCTATTGCAGGAGCTTATTGCGCCCGCCATGCGTGCGTCGTTTGTGGCGAATCCGCCGGGCGCGGTGCAGGCGTACAAGGAGACGCTGGATAAGGTGCAGCAGGTGTCGGGGCGGCTCGATGACACCCGAGACATGCTCATTCAAGCAAACTTGAATTTTGTCTGTGGTGTCTCCATGCGGATGGCGCAGGGGTCAGCTGTACTTGATTTCAAGATGTCCATACTGAACCAGGTGGCAGCTGTTTGTCTCCCCATCCATCTTGTTATTTCGCTGTTTGGCATGAACTGCAAGGTGCCGTACACCAAAGATGACTACCCCACGCTTACTGCGTTCTGGGTCATCTGTGCGGGGTTTGCTCTGTGGGCTATCTTGTTCATGTCTCCGTTGATTCTTGACGCCGTTCGGGGGCTAAAGGCACCACCCGTCGCGCCGTACTCGTGAGAGGCGAGAGGTAAGTAGGAAGGGGGATGTTGGGGGGGAAGGCTGTGTCTATAATTCCGCATCTCTATTGATGTTTTTTTTTTATTTGTTCGCGGCGGGCCTTAGAGCGAAATTGTGTTGCCCAAAATGGCTCTGGTAGAGTGCTGGATAACTTTGTTTATTGAGGTTGCTGTCGTAAAAGCCGTCGCTAAGCGTTGGCATTGGCGGCCCGCCCCGCGCGGAAGGCGGGTTAGGGCGCTTTCAGCACCTCAACCTTTTTTCCCCGCACCCGAGGATGTGCGAATAACATGGGGCTCGTCTTGGGCAATCTGCCGGGTGGTGAGTTAGCGAATACACGCGGTAGAAAAAAAAAGAGAGAAAATGCACCGGGAAATCTAATGTGTTTTTTTTTGTGTGTGTGTGTTTGTGCGAGAGCCTTCGTTACGAGGGGTGGGTAGGACGTGGGCCGTTGTTTTGTGTGAAAGAGCTTGTGGGGTGCCTCTGGGGGATTGGCGCATCGCCGTAACCTGTGGGTCTGCATTTCTTCCAAGATTTCTGTGTGCAGGGGTGTGTGTGTGTGTGTGTGTGTGTGGGAGAAGTGCGGAATTATGGGGCCGTCAATATTCCCCCCCCCCCACCGCCCACCGCCCCCTGCTTTTGGAGGGGCCCAAGGATGGGGGCGCACCCGGATACGCATGCAGGTGCGAGTGGGAGGCGGCATGCTTTTTCTAGCACCTATTTTATTTTATTTTTGCGCCGGCCGTTGCCAGGGGCTCCTGCCCTGGGCTGGCTGTGTGCTTTGGGCGGGTTAATGTGGAAGGCGCCGCTGCCGCAAGCGGAAGTTCCCAGGGCGCGTTTCTTTTTTTCCCCTCGTCTATTTGCGGGAAGTGGGTTGGAAGGGTGAAGGGCACATGCGCTGGAGGAGGTGCCGCCGTCGTGGCGTCATCCTTCTTTGCTGCGTCTTTGCCCTCCTCTGCCTGTGGGGCGCGGGGGGAGGTGGGGTGGGCACGTCGGCGCCCGAGGCTGGGCGGGGGCCGGTGGGCAGCCGGCGGCGCGTGGAACCATTTGGCGGCGGCAACGACGTTCTCGTGGTGCCCACGCGGCCGGGCACGTACCTGTGCGAGTACATGGTGAACGCAACCGTGCTTCCGCAAGGCTGTGCCCAGTCGTGCGGGGGGGATGGGCGGGAGGGCGGCGGCGATTTTAACTGCTACGTGCGTTCGAGACACGACGCGAGGGAGCTGCTTCGCGCGGACATCGCCATCAATCACAACGGGCCCGTTCCAGCGCGTCCCTCGCGGCAGCGGCCGCCGCACCTCACCCTTTTCTACACGGGGGAGAGCAACCACACGGACAGGAAACGGGGCGCCGAGGCCTACCAGCGCTTGTACGACGCCGTGGTCTCTTTTCACCAGCACCGGCGCTATTACTTCACATGGGCCCACCGCCAGCTGCCCAATTTCCTGAATCTCCTTCGCGACAACGATAGGTCTCCCGCCCCCAGCGGCAGCTTCGACTGGGCGGGGTGGCGGCAGCGTCAGTCTGCGGTGGCAGTGTTCGTGTCGCGCTGCAAGGCGCGCCGCGCGGATTTTATTCGCCGCCTGTCGAAGCATTATCCGGTCCACAGTTTTGGCGCCTGCGCCCGGAATCGCAAGATGCCGGCGGAGTGCGCGCGCCTCGCCGGGCGCTACCCGCAAAAGTTGTGCGTTTTTCAGCGGTACAAGTACGCCATGGCGCTGGAGAACTCGAGGGAGACGGATTACGTGACGGAAAAGGTGTACCACGCCCTCTTGAGCGGGGCGGTTCCCCTGTACTGGGGGGCCCCGAATGTGGCGGAGTTCGTCCCGGCGGGTCGGGCCAGCATTGTGGAGCTGGAGGAGCTTCTTCCCGGGCAGCTGGGCGATGCTGCAGCGGAGAGCGCTGAGGACGCCTTTCGCGGGTTTGGGGAGCACCTGCGGCGGTTAGAGGGCGACGAGGCATCTGTCCGGCGGCTGCTGCGGTGGCGTCGTGCGAGACGGGCGGCGGAGTGGGGCGAGGGCTTCCTGAGAAACCTGTATCACCCGGATCCGCTTTGCGCCCTGTGCGCCGAGGCCCGCGCCAAGCGCAGCCAAACCGGAGGGGGGAAATGAGTGTTGCCCGCTGGTGCTGCGGCGCGGGTTTTGAGCGGCCGCCTCGATGCGTGTCGCTGGGGGGAGGGGGCCCCCTCTCAGCCGGTTCCCTCGTGTTTGCTTGTTTTTTTTGCGGCCCTGGCCCTGCGGGGGGAAAAGGGTGGGTGGGGGCGGCCTCTCTAAACCTCTGGCTGCTTGTTTTTTCCTGCGCCCCAGCCTTGTCAGTGCGGCGCTGCTTCTGCGCTGTTTGTTTTTGTGTTCGCATTGTTTCTCTTTCTTCCTTGTTTGGCCGTGGGTGTCGCGGGGGCTGAGGGCGGTGCTTTGGGAAATAATGGGGAGCGCGTGCCTCCCAGTGTCGGGGCGCAAGGGCAGACATGCAAGGGTACTCCCTGCGGAGCTGCTGCGCTGGAACGAGGCGGCGGACACCCAGCTGCCACACAAGGCGGCGTTGTTGATCAGGGCGGATGCCAGCTCGTTGCAGCGGGCGCGGGTGGGGTGCGTGACGGTGGTGGCACAGCTGCTGCCGTGTGGGGCGGGCTTTCCTGACTCCCGTAACGCATTCGACACTTATTTTGCGGCGGCCGCCGCGCAACGCGAAAAGCGGGTGGCGGAGAACGCTATGGGAAGGCGCCGGGGAGCCCGCGACTGAGC